AGCCTCTTCATATAATACTTGGTCAATTACGGGAACAGATTGATTTTGCCCCCTCCTTTTTCTCCTGTATATAAATGAATTGAACATTCTGAAAATCCACGCACTTACAAACCTGTCAAGCAATAGTTGAAGAACTTTTCTTGAGACAAGCCCTAGTGGAGCTAATAACATACTTGAGAGCGTAAAACTAACAAGCAAATTACAAATGCATGGATATGAACCTAACAACTTCGTTACACCACACCCCCAACGCACATTTTTGCATCAAGTGTCTTTAAGACTGACAACTGATAACCATAACTTGCAAGAAAAATAAGAAAATACAACAAAAATATTATTCTCCGCACAAACCTTTTGAGTTAGAATCAGCATTAACATTATCAAATCATCAATGACCAAGGTGGTTTTGAAATGATCCATACAAAAACAGACCCAGATTTCTTGAAATGAGGGGGAAGAAAAAATGCAGGGATTTTGAACAAAAAATGTGGTTAATGAACAAAAGGAGAATCCGAGACTAAAAGGAAAATAAACTGAAAAAGCAGGAATCATCCACTGTACTCGTATGAAATGCACTTGGGACAGTTCCATACCATCTGCTGTCCGAGTAGTAAGCAGGAAAAGCATGTTCAACCCAAGAGATGAAGCCTTCTTCTCAATATAGTCTGCATATATTCGGTCACTGGATTAAATAAACACTGAAGGAAAAACAAGTGACAAGAAGCTATAGAGAAAGAAAAAACCAAAGACTACAGTAAAATAGCTGTTGGATTAAACGTCCTTTCAGAAAGAAGCACCATCATTTATAAAATTCAATGCATGAACTAATAAAATATGTGCCCTTATGCACCCTAGAGGATTTTCAGCTTTGGCTATTTATTGCAGATAAAATTGCTAACCGCTGAAAATACAACAATACACAACAACAATAAGCCTTTATCCCATTAAATAGGAGATTGCAAGATGCCATTGTGCTTTATCATTTACTAAGCTTTTAGAAATATTATTAAGCTTTTAGAAATATAGTAGTGAATGCTGGGCTCTAACGGGACAGCAAGAGCATAAAGTTGGAGTAGCAGAGATGAGAATGTTACGATGGATGTGCGGACATACACGTAAAGATAAAATTCGAAATGAGCACATACGCGAAAAAGTGAGGGTGGCACCTATTGAGGAAAAAATGGTAGAAAATCGGTTGAGATGATTTGGGCATGTACAAAGAAGACCAAGGGAGGCACCGGTGAGAAAAGTGGAACATATAACTTTGAGTCTGATTAAGAGAGGTAGAGGAAGGCCTAAGAGAACACTCTTGGAAGTTATTGAACGCGATCTGTTAATTAATAATATTCCTAAAAGCTTGATAAATGATAGAGCACAATGGCGTCTTGCAATTCATGTAGCCGACCCCACCTAGTGGGATAAAGGCTGCTTGTTGTTGTTGTTGTTGTTGTTTAAGAGATCGCATTCAACAACTTCCGAGAGTGTTCTTTTAGGCCTTCCTCCACCCCTCTTAACAGGGCTCAAAGTTATATGTTCCACTCTTCTCACTGATACCTCTCGCAATCTTCTTTTTACATACACAAACCATCTCAAATGATTTTCTACCATTTTTTCTTCAATAAGTGCTACCCTCACTGTTTCGCGAACGTGATTTAAAACCGCAATTAAAAATAACTTTAATTGCAACAAAAAGTCAGAGATGACTACAAGTTGTTATATTCTCTTAATCTTAGTCAGAACAAAGTCAGATAAATACCCACATACATTCTGTACATCAACTATTGAGAACAAGAAGTGTAAATCCATCTTATTTAAGAAAAGAAATGTAAATACATCTTATTTAAGGAAAGCATTGTAAATCCATATGAGTAGCAACATACCAAGCAATTTGTCACCCTGTCCTTGGCCTCGACAGTCTGGTGACACTGCAATGGCAGCAACCTCTCCACACTTCTCCTCAAAGAAAGGAAAAAGGGCAGCGCAAGCAATTATTTGACCCTCCCTTTCAACAACAATGAAGGAATCCACTGCTTGACGCAACTATGAACAGCAAATGGTAAAATTTTAGAGGCTACATGGCAAATTTACTAGTTATAGACATAAGTTATGGCACCTAATATAGCTATGGAGAATAAAAAATAGAAGCTAAAAAAACCTCCTCGTCAGTCCTCTTAACCAATACACCAGATGCTTCCAAAGGCTGAATAAGTTGTTTTATTCCAGGAACATCTGCAACCCGAGCCATCCGAGTACCTTCATACAGATCACTGCATTGACAATAAGCTTATGAAATCAATGACTCCAGGAGATAAAAATTTCCCAGCAGAAGCAAAACCAAGCTTCATCAGGTACAACCATGTCAACAATTTGACCTATATAGCATATTGCTAGGAGATTCAAGAAAAGTAGTCAAACGCAAAGAGGGCCATTATAGCCCTAGACCTCTAAAACACCTAACCCAGACCCAAAAAAGATCCACGTCTGAGTGACCAGGTTTGTAACTACCTAAATTATCCTATCACTATTTTAATTTTCGGGCTGGGTATATATAAGTTGGTCCTTTTTCTTGTTGCCTTACAAACAAAAGGCAGCAAAGGTGCATGATTGGCATTGGCCATGAAGAGTGCCTTGCCTCTGTGCTGTAGACTTCATTAGCTTTAGGACTAGGCTTTCCTCTAGATTAGATTTAACAGAGGGGATCCCACGACACGAACACTGAAGAATTTGTTAATTACTTATGTTTGGGGGGTTTGAGAAAGAAGAGAAGGGAAGATCTTCTCAGGAGACTGACATTTTTGCTGTGGTATGGTGAGTCTCCTTCGCAAGGTAACAAGATGCAGATGTGTTGAACATGAGTATGCCCTTCAGCGCAGATTAGATACCACTTGTATTTATGTTTGTGTTAAAATTGGACGTAAGTAGAGGTGGTGAACGGGTGGGCCTAGTCCATAAAGGCCCAGCCCTTATGGGCTCAAGCATTAAAACCCGATTCCCCTGAAAATGTCCTATTTCTAAAACCTGACCCTTATTTAAAGGACTTAGGGCCGAGCCTGTATGCCTGTTTAAAAAAAAAAATAAAAAAAATAAACATTACAAATTAAGTAAAATATTCTAAAATTCAAAGCTGTAATTTAAGGGGCGAATGGACAATATCACATTTATGGTATATATTTGTTACCATTGCAATTTTCCATAAAGTTGGTGATGAAACCATTGTCAACCAATCCTATGGCTTAGATTAATGCTATGAATGCTATCATAGTCATGGAAGCAGGTCTTCATCAAGAGAGGGTGAGAAAGAAGGCACACGGACTTGCTAGAGTTACAGAAAGAATATGAAGAGCACTCAAAGAGCAACAGTGTGATAGCATTAATAGCAAACCAGAAGTAATCTATTGAAAATGAGAGCTTAAACAAATATTTGTATTTTGTCATTTGGCTCACCGAAAAATCACTAGGTGAGTGAGGAAACCAATAATCAGATGAGTAAGGAGAACCAGAATGAACCCAAAAATAAGCAAACAAGGACCGTTACCTGTAGCTGAGAATCAAAGATCGTGAGATGAACACTCATTGCAAGAATCAGACTAAGTAAAGCACTAACACTACCGAGATCAAGAGGATGGAGCCATGGAGGAGAGCACCGACACTGTTGAGATCTAAAGAAGGGAGGAGAGCACAGATGCTGTTGAGATTGAGAAGAGGGAGGAGAGCATTATGAGATTGTCATGACTTAAAGAGGGAGAAGAGTATCGCAAGATTGTCATGACTTAAAGAGAAGAGTTTAGAGCCTTAGAGTCAGATGGTATGTTTTGAGAGATTTTTTGGACCAGAAAAAAAAATTAACCAACCTTGGATGACTACTTGGGCCAGAGCCTGTTTTTTCAAGGCTTAAAAAAATTTCAATTTTTCAAAACTCGAATCCTCATTTAAATAGGGCTTTTAAGCCTAGCCCTTTAGGCCTAATCCTTATCCCTAACTTTAGATGTAGGAGATGTGAGGGGTAGCTTCTGATTACTATCGGTTTCGTATTGATTCTCTTGTTGCTTCTATTTCTTTACCTTATTCCCACCAGTTCCTGTCAATCATTCAGATAGTTATCTATTTCAATTAACTACTCAACTTTGTGAATGATCGATATTTTCATATAAGGTGGAGAGAAAGCAATGTGTAGAACTTAGAGTCAGATCATATTCTTACACAATCTGGTAAAATTAATGCCACAAGGGTCATCTAGTAATGCATACCTGGCCACCATTGTTCCCATTCCATCTCTCTTAAACAATTCCAACAACAAAACTCCACTAATAGTACCATCCAACAAGTGAACTCTTTGAACACCTCCCTGACAAAAAATTGGATGGCGCTGTTAATGATAAAGTTGAGACACATGAACTGGAATTTTAAGCAGCAAAATCACATTTGAACAAAATGATTCCATAAAGAAACTAAAATGTCAAGGGAAATCACATATTATATGGTAGCAATTATTATGTATTGCAGTAGCAGAAACATATGGAAAACACGATAACAACATCTGGGTAGTCTCAAAGAGGTCTTGATTTGGCAAGTGCTGGCACTCTCACAACTGCTTATGCATAGCCACAGCAATTTCTCATATAGAAATCAACACTCTTAAATGTACTTTTTGGTTGTAATCCTGGAAACACAGAATATAGTACAAGATATCCTTATATTATGTAATCTGTCGGCAGTTTCATCCCTAACATGTGATATAGCTGAATTCCAGTAGATAGACAATTGAGTTTTGGGATACAGTGATGGAAGGTGACAGAAGGTAAGAGTTTAAGCAAAATGGATGAGGGAAAGTTCAGACATAATGTACGTACTCTGCAAACAAAAGCTGCTGCAGCCAATTCTGACAGGTAACCATTCATTCGACTTAGCCGCTCTTGACCTCCAATAGCAAAGCCTTGTTCACCAGACCATAGGCCATTCCCATTGTCAAAACCCACACCATTATGAAAGGTTGCATTATGGGTTGGAGTAAAGGCATCTCCATTCTGTGGGGAATGGGCTGTTCCATTAGAACTTTTATGACCAGCAGAGCTGAAATTATTTACATCAACAGCTTTCACATAGTTAGCAGCTATTTCACTTTGCTCGGCCCGTTTACGAATTAACAAATCTGCTTCTTGAAGAGGCAAGTAACGAATAAGATGTCCATTCTCATCAAGTATTAGACCATCTATAATGCAAATAAGCTTGTCTGCTCCAATAGCTAATGCACAAGCTGTTGCAACTTCATAGGTGCTGGTGGGGGAAAAATATCATCAGTATGTAGCCACAATACTCCTAACTGGTGGGACAAGGAGAACTAAAATTTAAGACTTGAAACTCTAATGGTTATCTATTAATATTTCAAATGAGACACAGAAGCCGGTGATTCACACAGCATATGGAATACCGATTACCTGTTCATACATGAATGCCAGTTAATAAGTTTTAAAAGAGCATATCACAAAAACAAATAGCAGAGACGTGAAGTTAGTACTTCATTAAAGATTCTAATTTAAGGATTACATTTGAAATATACATATATATATATATATATATGTATAGGTAACATAGAATTTAACTACTGATAGCATAACATGTCATATCCTAAACTGCCATCTCATAAAATAAAGTTGTACCAAGCTTTTTATTTTTACCCTGGTAGAAAGATACTATTGGAAGCTCTGAAACATACTTGCAATTTAATACTTCTCCAGAGCTGGAATAACCAAGGTTACTTAAAAGAACTATACAACCACCATCAAGCCTCTCACGCATGCGAGAAACATCTACTTTCTTAACTTCTCCAGTTGATCCATAGTCAATTCCATCAACAACCCCTCTTCTCTGCCAAGCCAAAAAAAAAAAAAAAAAAAATCTTACTCTTTTACAATGGCACAAACTGAAAACAGAGACGCAGCTTCAGAATGTCCTTATTATCTTAACCTAAGATAATGGCAGTTGAAATGAATCATCACTTTAACAGTGAATCACAAAATTCAAACCTTAGCTGCGAGAAAGTTACCACTAGCAACACTGACACCAACTTCATGCCAACGACTATTGCCACCATGTCGACGAATATTGCATATGGACGGTCCAGGAGAAAGTTTTGCTTCCATCATCAACCTTATTCCCCCAGCTGCTTCCATTGCAGCAGCAAGAGATTCATCATCGGTAATCCTATATCGACCAACATACTTAGGTTGGCTCCCTACAATAGCAAGGCAGTTGATCATTCATAAATTAAGAACTCCTCTCTTCTTTTTGCTTGGCAAAAAGGGAAATGGGTTTGGTAACAGCCAAAGATAATAAACAAGAGTGATCTATTGATAACCCTGATAATGACAAAATAATTGCTAAATATTAAACAAGTATTTTTTTTTTCTTTCCAGCTATGAGATTTTGCTATGATCATACTTATTCATCACACAACTCAAATCAACCTGGTTGAGAGTTATTGATCATTAAACAACTAAATATTTTAAGAAAATAAACATGAAATTATGGACAAAATATTATTTTATATTTACTTATTATTATTATCATTATCATTATTATGGTTCGCATATTCAAGTTCATAAGACGTAAGCATTGCTTTTAAGTTTCTAAGTGAAAGAAAACTAGATCATCTGCTGAAATCCATAGTACACACACACGCTGCGGCTGATACTCAAGAAGAAGCATAAGCAATAACTGTGACCAACCTCTCTCAGTCAAAAGCTTGTCTATTTGCACATGGGTCCCCGGGACAAGAACAAACCGAATTCCCAGGTGATGAAGGAAAGCTATATCCTGCAAGCAGAAACGTGTCTATATAGGCCGCTGAATAGAAGAAGATTAAAAAAAAAAGATTTTAAATGGAGCACATCTTTTAGATATATCTTTTCGACAAGTTCTAAAGAACAAACCAGGTTTAAATTTTATCCTAAAAGAATGACCTGCCTTGAGAATAGGATCTAAGAAAGGACTGGAGACGATTTCACCGGAAATAATCACGACGAAGGTGCCGCCTCTATGGGCCCACAAGTAAGGCCAGGCCTCGCGAAACCAGCGCACAAATTGCTTATCTTCCACCGTGCCGAGGCTTTCCCCTTCCGCGCTTTCTCCCAATTCGTCGCTGAACCCATCGCATTTGGTTGAGGCCGCTTCATTGAGCTTTGCTTTGTCATCGGCGGCTAATGCTAAGGGTTTTAGGGAACGAAATCTTGCATTCAGTTGCGAGTATAAATTGCGAGAAGAATAGCACAGGTCAGTACGCAAGTGGAAATCTGAAAATTTGCGAGAAGCGTGCAGAGAAATGTAAGAGCTCGGTATTGGAGCCGCCATTGAGAGGCTATCAAGAGCAAAAGAAGTGTCATATTTCGGGGCGGGTGACATTAGCGAACGAAAGAAATTTCTAGGGGACGAGAAGCCGCCATCCATGGCTGCAGTAATGGGACCCGAGTCTTAGAAATTAATGAATGTAATTTTACCAACTTTGAACTTTGAAAAGTAAACTAGAAAACGTGCACCTTGCATTCAAAAAATAGAAAGGCCGGGACTGGAAGTAGTTATAGATAGCTAGATTCCGAATCTTGGTGCGTTCCCCTTTTTTTTGGTTGAAATTATGAGTGTTTGAATAAAAAAAGAGTAATATAACATGTAATCTGCTGATGAAAAAATATAACATGTAATCTTTGTAAGAGTTAGGATTAAATCAACCATTAACGTGTGTATCATGAAATCTTTTTTGACTTAACAAAAAAAAGGAGAGTTCTTGTATCAGTTAAAGATTATGTGTTACATTAATTTATAATTTATAAATTGTTTAAAATGTCCATAACTTATCATAAATGTTTTTGGGATAGCCAAACTAACGCTTAAATCAATTGATATGGTATTGTTTTAGTTTAATTTAGCTCTAAACTTTGAGAATGTAGCTAACGTGATAAATCCCCACAAGGGGTGTGGTAGAGGATTCCTCCAAATATGAGTCGACCAAATCTCAATCCAAATTAATTTGACCTCGTAAGTTAATGGGCTAAAATACCAGATGCTATAGGCCAAATATATATATATTTGAAATAAAAATAGACTTCAATTCAATCAATAATGTCATTGTTATTTGATACTTGCCCTTTTGGTAAAATTTTGAAAATTGCTCCTCTTAATTTTTTTCTCCTTTCTCTAAGTAAGTTCTTGTATTATTTTTTTAAAAAATGACAATAAAATTTTAAAATTTAATCTCTCGAAATGTCATAATTTTTTTAAAATTTTTTAAAATTTTTTATCATTAATGAATTTATATAAATTATCAAATTGCCCATGTTAAAAATAAATTATTCACAAATTTTATTTAAATATTCTTAACTTTTCTTTTTATATTTACAACAATACATGTAAATATAAAAAAAATTATGAATATTTAAATAAAACTTATGAATTATTTATTTTCAATAAAAATAACTTAATAATTTATATAAAATTATTAATAACAGAAAAGTCTTTAAAAATAATAAAAAAATTATAATATTATAAAAAACTAACTTATCATTTATATATTTAAAAAGAATTTTATTATTATTATTTTTTATTTATTTACAAGTATCGAGGATTCAAATGTAAGATTAACTGTGCAGTTAAAGAGAGAGAAAGGCGGAATCACTTTTCTTCCTTCGGGCTATGGATGAAATTGATTCACCCAAACGAGATTATTTTTGTTTCTAGTTTTTATTGTCGTCGTCCATTGACGAGACGCAGAAAACATGTTTATGACGTAGTGATCAAAACGCAAACATACGTATGGCCATCGGAATGAGATTCGCAGACGATACAGGAATTTTTTGAACAAAAAACTGAGCCAGGAGCCCAGGACGCAGTTTCGTGCAACCCTGTGCTGCTCAGGATAGCCGTTGAGAACCCACCATGGACAGAGGATTGATTAAACAGTGCGCGGCAATTAGGGTAGATAACACCGTCTCTAATTTTATATGGTTCAGTACTAAGCTGATCAAATTAAGAAAAACCACTGTCCCAAAAAAACCTATTCCTTCACAGGAAAACTGAGCACTGGTTCTAGTTTTCTAGGTAGATGAATTTCGGTGGCACAATACTAACGAATCTATGGGTAGGGCTCTTTAATGCATCCTTTTTTAATGTCCAGCGTTTTAATTTCGTTTTTCATTTGTTTTTTAATCATTTATTTTTATATAAAATAAGAGATATTTAAATATTTTGATGTCTCAAAATGATAAAAATTCATATTTTTTATTATTTTTTTAAAATCATGAATATACCTTTTTATTTTTAAAAAATTATAAAAATATAAATTTTTATCATTTTGAGACATCAAAATATTTAAATACCTTTTATTTTATCTAAAAATCAATGATTCAGATAAAAATAAAAAATAAAATTAAAAAGTTAGAACAGGTCCCTACCGAATTTATACAACAACAGATGATTGTCGCTTCTAATAACTAATGTGGCATTGGTTCATCTCACGAGTTAAAGAAGATTATTACAGGACTTTGCATGGAGGCAAAAATAATTTGACAGACTCAATTGTTCAGGTGTCAAAGTGAAGACCAGATTGACGCCTGTTAATGGAGGGAGTGTATAAAATTGTGAGACTATACAAGAGAGATAATAAGAGGCTAGTGTGGAGAATCTAGGGTGTTCTCGGCCGCCGCCGAGTAGGATAATATCTATTTACCAAACTTCCTATTACTATTGAGAGCATGTGTTGGATTTGAATTCCTAGTGTTTCATTCCATCCTTCCCACATTTTCGTATTTATCGACTATGCCCTTCCTCGGTTTTAAAGATTTGTCCACGAGTCCGCCTCACCGAGTCACTGCAACTATCGAACTTGACAGTGACAATGACACATCGCACCGCTCCTAAAAACAAAAACAAACAAATGAAAAAAATCTATGACGCTGGGGAAATCTCGTCGAAGCAGAACATTCCGGCCATTAGCCGGATCGGAGGCCGGAACGACTATTCAGTCCGTCACAAAAGTATTGAGCTCAGTCAACCCGGGGGTGGGGGGAAGTGTAAGGGAGGTACCTTGAGAATGGCGTCCAAGTGGGGGCCGGCAATAATTTCTGCAGAAATGACGAGGACGAATATGCTGTTTCTGTGAATAGAAATATAAGGCTGAGCCTCCCGCAGAACCTTGACAAACTCTTGGTCTTCCTCGGCGGCACGATAGCCGTCTCCCCTGTTTGGGTCACACCGGCATCCTCTCACCACAAATTCTGCTGCTTTCTTTCTAGTTTCCGGCCTCCCACCAAAGCCACAAGATTTGACTCTGGGTGCAACGTTGAAGGCCTGAAATTTAAGGCTGCCGGAAAGCCAACGTTCTCTCTGGCTTCTCTGCCACACCGGTGGCTTTGAGCTAGAACTACAGGTAGCCATTTTCCTCTGCATTTGTGCCAGAAAATTCAGTTCACAGGAAGTTTTTTTTGAGGGGGAGGGGGGCGCAGGTTATAGAAGCGTGACACTGCATTCAACCAGCACAATGGATGCATTAAGATTAAATAGTTGATTAAATTCATTGTCGTAATGAAAATAGATACCACCTCCCACGAAAATATCATAATCCAAATAATTTGGGAATATTCGGAAAGGGCAATTGTAAGAAAATAAAACAATAAAAAGACGCAGGATGGTGAAAAGAGTAACATTCTATCAGACCGGACGCAGTAAAGTTTTACTTTTTTCTTAATTAAAAACTCCAGTGGATATATCCAATAATTAATTAGTGGTTATGTCAGAGTTCGCTAAAATCAATAAATTATTACTCGTTACATATTTTCCCCTTTGACAACAGTTCAAGGCGTCTAGTGAAGGAGAAGCGGGTTCCTGTATAAAATCTGTTTTTGATAACTACGTCAATAGATATTTACGTTTTTATTTGAGAATATCTTTTAGTTGAGATTATCACGTTTAATTTTACAAAAAAATAATCATACAGAAAAAAAAATAATTGCCTTACGCGGCGAAACGGGGACGTGGGGGAGAGGGGGTAGTATATAACGTTAATATAATATTTTTTTAAAAAAATATAAAATATTTTTAATTAAATTTTATCTTTTAATAAAGTAATTAATTATTTTTAAACTAATCTTATCTTTTTATATTTATCTTTAGTAAAGATTTTATAATAAATATAAAATTATTATTAATAGAGATATTTTAAAAAAATAATAATTATATTTTAAAAGACTAATAATATTTTATATTTTTAAATATTTAATTTTTTAAAAAAATATTTTATATTTTCAAATGAATTAAATGAAGGGAGCAAGAAGAAGAAGAAGAAGAAAAATGTCTGAACCAAAACATGGACTGTGAGTGTGAGGATCGAGGAAGAATAGTAGTTGGTTTGTGTGAGGCGGACAGCACCAAAGCTAAGCGTGTGAGATACGCGGAGGGCGTAACTTGACCTCAAGTAGCAATCTCCTTGGAATTGCGATCGAGCATCTTATCTCAAGGCCGTTCAAGGCTACCGCGTCCCCGTCGCGCCTTTTCTTCGATTAAAGAAAAGAGGTAAACGACAAGCTCAGTGAGGGCGTTTCAAGTCTGATATTTTCAGACCAATTACCAAGCAGTAATGATTCGGGTGGGCCAAGCGTTAGCTAAAAGTGAGGCCCGTTTCACCGGCTAATCATGGCAGCAAATGGCAATAAATCCAAGGGGATCTTAAAAAGAAGCCTATCCTTGGGTCACTAGCCACTAGGTGCTACCTAATAGCTATTATTGTCCTTTCTATCTCTCAACTCTCGTCAATATGTTGACCACTGCCAAACGATCCTTAACATTGTTTGTACCTTCACCGCGTGGCATTGCTCTTCATAAACCACAAATATCAACGGAGATAGACTTATGTTCTATGTCATCCCACCACATGTTCCGGTATCTGCTTAGCCCACACTATAAACACTCAGAAATGTTTGTTTGGTACGTTCTGACTTCTGAGTGTTCTAAATTCGGCTTGGTTGACGAAAGCAAGAGCTTCTAATCTAGCTTTACAACTTTTTTTCGGCTTTCTATGAATTATTTTCGAAGCAACGGAAAGTTTAAGAAGAAATTAAGATGGCCATATATTGAATTTATCACACAAGTCGCAGCGGAGGTACCATGGAAGCAGGCCAGCTTCTTGTATCGAGAATTCAGATGCCAGTCATTTCCAATTAACGGCCACTCCACGAACCAAAATCTCCAACAATAGTCACGATCTCTGGCGATTTGTGGTAGGGAATATAAGTTAGATTGGCCGAAGCTGTTGGACATGACGTGCCTTCTCACGCGTTGCCAACCCGGTGCGGTCATAGTTTTGGACGATGCACTGATAGATAATACAGCTTTTGAAGTCGAGCAAGAAGCACACGCATAATTTTCGCTACTACCGGACAAGATTCTTTTGATCAAATTATAGGTTCATGGTCAAGATTCTTTTGCTTCATGAGAAATCGCATCCAAAAAGCTAACCCACAGTCAACTTGGCCGAAAGAAAAGGGGAAGAGAAAGGAAGGGCAGGCACTCACATGTCAAAAATTCAGACAATAATGGAGTCTTTAAAAATATCCGAGTCGTGCTAATACATTTCTACAAGTTGTGGTCTGTGGCAAAAGCTAACAAAAGAAATCCTACTATTGAATTATATCATACTTGAAAGAAGATGACGATGATGCTGCCTCCTGGAATGACCGCGCGAATGTGCTGAACAGACACCTCTCTTCAAAAGCAAGCATCCAGCAGGCAACAGCAGCAGAGTGCCGCTAAACTGCAAAATATACAGACTGGTAAGTACAGACTTCAAAGGCTAATTCATATGCAATTTGATGCATGTTACATGTGACTTTTCTCATCCGTAATAAAGGGCAATTAGAGTAACACAACAGCAGAACAGACATTATGCTTACAGAGAACAGCACTTGTATTTTTATTTACAATCCTCGTACGCTCATGTTTTCGAGATTATTTGGAAATACTTCTATCCAAACAAATTTCGTTCAACATTTATGTTTTGCTAGACAGCTTATAACTTTTTTGAAATCTTACAAAGCAGGATAACAAGAAAACAAAACAGGACCTTAGCTTACGAAGAAAAAAGAAAGACGAAACCTCAAGAGGATAGCCACTACGACTTTCGAAACGGGGAATAAACAAAGGAGATAAACATGTTGTATTTTATAATCCGAGTCCGAGCTAAAGACCCCAAGAACTTGAATGATCAAACAACGCTAGGTTCAGCTCAATTGCAGTCGAGCTGTTCTAACTAGTTAAATTCCTACCAGGAATATAATATCTATCCAAAACATGCTAGGCAGATTTCTTGAAATAAAGCGGACGGTATGTGCAGAAGCAATTGTCCAAGAATTTCAGAAAAAACATCATCTACAAGCGTGAGAAAGAGAAGGGCATACCATCCTCAAGAAAACTGGTGTCTTGCCTTGGAGGTGGAGCCTGGGCATACTGTGGTGGAGCGTACCCTTGCTGGGGGTAGCCCGGTGGAGGATATCCTTGCACTGGGTAGCCTGACGGAGGATAAGCATCCTTTGTTGGATACCCTGTTCATTATTCAAACCAATAATTTCACCAATCGCTCTCACGTCGACAATTGATCAAAAAATTAAAGTCTTGAAAATAAAATTCCATGGTATAGAGGGAATCAAACGAGAGTAAATTACCCTGCGGAGGAGGAACGCCGATCGGAGGCTGATGCTGGTGTTGATCGTAGTAACTCATCTCGATGCGTAACCTGAAATTGGAATGGAGGACTTGACAGTGACAGAAATTAAGAGATTCTTGCAAGTCTTTTATAAGAAGCGAGGGGGGAACCTGGAAGGAAGTTTCGTCGAGTAACTTAGGCAGGTAATGGAACAAATGTGAGTAACGCGTTTGATCCTGCAACGATGCTGAAGATGCTTGCTTCAAGATTTACTTGCTTTTACTCTCCCTTTTGGCTTTTTGAATATTATTCTTCTTTCCCATTTAACGGCTTTCGTGCGGCTTTCTCTTCCATAAAGTGACTTTCATTTTTGACTTTACCCGTTACCCCAACGGCTTTCCAATCGTCCTTCACCGTTCAAATCCACTTCATCTTCCATTTTTCCATTTAGATTCTTCATGCCCGGTTTCCGATTTTATGATTTTATCTCTATTCAAAAGTATTATTTTTTGTTTTAACCTTTTACTTGATTTATTTACACTTTGATGTATGTTCTGGTTGTGTTAATTTTAGCTCATGCTATTGATGTTCTATTTATAGGCGGTCTCTAGCGTTTTCTATTTTAAATTTCGACAAGGATCAACAATGTCAGGAAGCAAGAACTGTCCACCTCTCAGCAGCAAAATGAGGAATGGAAAGACCTGTAGCCCGTAAAGGGTATGAATGGTATTGACTAGTTCAATAGAACCACTGAAGTTTTACAATGTGAAATATTTATAAATTATAATTTTGTTGAGGAAGCGAGTGAAAACTATTCGCTATGTTAGGGAGCATGAAGAAAGTAGATGGTGATGAAGGACAAATGACAGCGAGTGGTGATGACTAATAACTATTCTCGAAGCTGAACGGTTGCCTTCGCCGCTGATAACAATCAACAACTAAACCATCGGAGAGGGTTAGTCAACCGACAGAATTGTGAAAACTATTGGCTATATACCAAATTTTTCAATTTCGTCCTTATTTCGCGAAGGATGATTAGCGGGGTCAATACTCAATACCCAAAAGCCGAAACCTTTATCCTCCCACGCTGGGGTAAGGGATCAATGAAGAAGACAGGCTGTTGCAGTTGCAGTAGCCCAAAGAGGACAATCCAGTCCAATGACGACATAACAAAACCTTGATGGTGTGTTTGGGTTGGACTGCCGTAACTTAGACCCAAACCCTCCTTTTGGTTTCACCACATTGTTGTGTAACGTAATACCTCCTTTTTATCAAAAAAAGAAAGAAAAGAAAAACACAATACCTTGTCGTGTAACCAAAAAACAAGTGCTTTGTTGTTCGGATATGAATTTTTACACTGTGTCAGTAGTCGATCGTTAAACCATTGCATAATACCACCCCCATTCCAAGAGCTGAGGAGGGGAGGACTATTTTGCATAGAAACGTTTTTTATCCGTTATGCTTATTCTTTCGTTGCTGACACTAGACAAACTTACAAATCCAATTTGAAGTAAAATTTATGCTCTGTTTGGTTGGGAAAAAAATATAGGAGAAAAAAAATTATGGATAGAAAATAATTTTTTCCCTACTTGGATAGGGAAGAAAAAATGAGAAGAAAAAAAAAGTGAGAAGAAAATAATATATGAAACTTATCATATTTTTCTTCCAACTTTTTTTTCTAAAAGTAAAAAAATTTTGAAAGTAAATTTTTTTTCACTGTCTACCCTCCCTCTCCCTCTTATCTATTTCGTGCTCTAACTCTCGAGAAACTATTTAATTACGTTAATTTAATTTTAATTAAATAATTTGGTTTATAATTTTTAATTTTTATGATTATAAATTACATTAATTTAACCATTTAATTAAATAATAGCCATTCGCCGGTTCAAGTATCCAGATTTACGTGATAGAGATCATCATTGTCATGTGAGCAACTCCAGAATTCAGGGGAGAGGTGTTCTTCCTTTTATTAATTATGTAAACACCATTTTTCTGACAGTCGATTACTCTTAATCAACTTTGAAAGTCATTCATTTTGTGATTTTTAAATCTTAACACAAAACTACAAAATTTTCACCTTCATGACAGCTATTGTTTTGTTTCATACTACAACTTAATGCTACTAATTATCAAATTACGTAGGTGCATAACCTCTTGAGGTTGTACAATGATATTAATGTTCCTTCTCAAAGCCTATTGTTTAAAATTCTTTCAACATGGCAAGTGTATGATATTGCAAATCAAAATTGTTATCATGACTTTGAGTTAAACTTTATGAGCTATTGAATTTATGGCCTATTTTTTATTTATTTTTTATTTTAGGGAATAGAGGTTGCAAAGTTACTTGAATATGAGAGTATATAAACACATTTGACTTTTGTTTATAATATTTCATTATCAATGTGTTGGAGATTTTGTGTTTATAATTACTATGTTTAATTTTATTAGTGCCCACTTTTGATTTTAAAATGTGAAAATAACATATTTTACTAAATTATTTGATTTTAAAATACAATATAAAAATACATTTTTAACAAGTAATTTGATTTTAAATTAATTTGAGTGTGTTAATTTTAATATAATTTTTACTTTCCATTTATTTTTACAAATATAATTACATGAAACATGATATATTTTGATATAAAAAAATTATAATTATTATAATATCTGTTCATTTTCTTTTCTCCTTATATTCTCTTGTCCATCTAAATAGGAAGAGTGATAATATTTTCTTTTCCATTTTCTCTTTTCTCTATTTTTTTTCTCTCAACTTTTTTTCCTATTCAAATGGAGGGTTAGAGATGGACCAAACTTAAAAAAGATCAAAGTTCATTTGTGGCTTCTTTATGAAGACAAAATCACATGCTAAGGCTTGAGCGCTTTACTGAGCACAAACCTCTACCCCTTGGAATGTAGGCATGGACGAATCTAGGACTAAACCTATGGAGGGGCCAAAATACAAAACAATATTATAATGGGGGCTAAAATTAGTTTTTATCATTTTTAACAAAGAAAAACAATATAACTTTTAAATATATTTTTTATAATAAGGTGCTTGTCCTCTCTAAGTTTGTCCCTAGATGCAAGAGGAAGGAAGACGTCCTCTTTGTACTTTTAGACTGCCCACATGTGGAAGAGAGATGGGCAAAATTTATCAAGCCAAAATTCTTGACCAAATTCAAGAACTTAAATAGAGAAGCATAACATTCTCAAAATTTAAACTTGATTAATTAAGACTAATTAGAGTAATTAAGTTTATTTAGTGAGGTGTGTGGTTAGAGAGGTCTAATGGGCATGTTTAGTTGTAATTTCAACCCTAAATGTGAATCCAAAGTGAAGTCGGGTCAACCTGAACGTGAAAGAAAAAGAAAATTCAAAAGGTAAGATTCTGTACCACATGCCACAGCTTGTGGATGATCCTCCGTGGCACATATACATGAAATAGCTAAGAAGGCCTCTTTGTGTCATGAGCTATAGCGTATAGCCAATTTTTTATTAAAATATAGCCACGAAACTGATGCAAAGAAGAAGAAAAATGAAAGAGAAAATGAAAGAAACACAAGAGGCTCTGCCAGGGCTTAGAGTTTAGAAGAATTTGGAATATTTTGAAGCTTCTAAATACTATAGGTAAGGTTGTCAAGCTTAAATCTACCCATCTCTTCCATTTTCTTGATATTGGAAGTTAAGGTTTGGTTGATAATGATGATTTTCGGTCCATAAAGGCTTTGTGTTTGAACTCATTGACTTAAATAGAGTTAATGAGAGTTGATTAAATTAATGAAACCTAGCATTTATGGTTTGTGATGGGTAGTGGTTAAAGAGCATTTAATATCAAAAAATCCACCATTAATAAAGTGGTTGGGACATGTAGCCCCTTGAATGATTATATAAGAGTTTAATGATATTAATGTGAGTTAGAGGAAGCTAAAAAAACCTATAAGTACTTTTATATAGAAGGAATAATCTTAGGAGTGAAGAAGTACTTGAGTTAATGAGGAAAAATTATCCAAAAGGTGGATATTAAGGAAGTATATTGTGATTACTTGTAGATATTTGTTGCACCATTCAAGCTTTATGGAAGTTTTGGGAGTGTGTAATTGAGGGATAAAATCTTTGACCTTTTAAAGGTTTGAGATAACCGAGGGTATTCTTTCTCATGTTTTTATATGTTAATTAATTTACTGTTTGACATTTGATAATTTAAATATGAGAATTTGAGATGAAATGCAGGTGTGGCTTGTCTTATTTGAAAATCCATTATATTATTCTAGTAAGGTTCAATGAATTATTTTCATTTGAAATTTGATGATGTGGTTTGTAAATGGATTTTCAATGATTGTTGTGATAGAAGAGTTCAATAAGCATATGTGAATTGTTTAGAGTTCAATAATTGTGAAAATATAAAGTTCAATAATTGTGAAAATGTGAAGTTCAATGAGTGTAAAATGTGGAGTTCAATGATTGGTTGTTATTTGTTGTATTATAACCATGTGTAATATGAGTTTAATGATGATATTATGCATGTCGTATAATGAATATTTGCATGCTATGAGAAATTTACATGTTGATGCACTACATGATTAATGAGAGGTGGGAGTTGGTAAAGCTTCCATTAGAGCTCAATGGTTAGTCTAAATTTATTATTTATATTGTCTCACTTATTCAACGAGTGATTGTACTACTAGTTCAATGAAGGACTTGAACCTAACTAATTATCCACTTGTTTGATGAGGAAATTAATCTAAGGAGAATGACACCCTATAGTATGAGAAATAGTAGAAACAATGACCCACTAGTGAGATGGGAAGCCTTGATTAGGTAACCTCTCACAAGTGTTTTGATTAAGATAGTCTCAATATATAGACAAACTTAATGTGTTATAGCCCATGGTTTCTTATCAGAGGAATAAGGAGGATATAAGAGTGGTATGATCGTGTATGTATGGATAAAGGGCACATGATTGATTGCCTTGTGATCTTAGTGATGAAAATCATGAGTTCATTATTATATCCATGTGAGAATGTGAAAAAAATAGATCTTTTGATTGGATCTTGTTTTCTATGTATATGATAGTATTATTATATCATCAACTCATAATTATGTTCTTCGACAAATGAGCATTATGAATTTCATACTTGAACATTTTCATGTTTAGAATGTTTTTATTCCCACTTGCATTTAAATTAATTGACATTATAACATCCTAAATTTTAATTCCCTAATTAACTAAACTTAATGAGGATAATTAAGTAAGTTGAGATAGTGTATGGCCAGGGAGGTCTAATAATCATATTCAATTGTGTTTCAATACTAATTGTGGATCTGGTATTAAGTCGAGTCAACTGGGCATTGAAAAAAGAAAAAAATAAAGAGTTAGTGTTGCTGTACCATATACCGTAGCGTGAATCACGTCTGCTATGGCACAAAAACACTACAGATGAAAGAAGGGGACCTCTCTATGCCATACGCTTTGGTGTACAGCCATTTTCTTTAGCATATTAGTCACGAACTGAGACAGATATAGAAAAGAAAGAAAGGAGAAAATGAAGAGGACGAGTTGAGCACTGCTAGGGTTCATTCTTAGATGGCACTGGGAGTATTTTAAAAGTTACAAACACCAAGATAAGTATCACACTTATTGATCTCTCTTTATCTTTCACATTTATAAATTTATAGTTAAGGTTTAATAGTGGAAGATAATTTTTAGTCTAGGTTATGCGTCCAAATCTATTAACTCAAATGAAGTTAATAGGACTAGATTGGAGAATCTAAAGTTAGATATAATGAATTTTGATATCTTTGATTGTTGGGATTCATAAATATATGAAAATGACATTAATGATGGTTGTTAGAAAAGTGTGATGCCAATAATGAAAGTTTAATAGCTTATTAATGTTATTAGAGACTAGAGAGAGTTAATAAACTCAATGGATAGGCCCAAACTCATATCAAATGGGCATTGGGTAATTTAGAGAGGGAAGACTAGAGTTGAAATGTGTGAGTTTAACAATATTAATGAGAGTTTACCTGATAAATTATAGATTAAGCTCTTGGACACTGATATAGCTTGGGAATTCAAGCTTGAAAGCTATAGCATTAAAGGGTAAACCTTTGACCTCTCAAAGGTTTAAGGTAACTGAAAAAATCCTACTTTAAGTAGTTGTATGTTAATTGTTATGTGATGTCAATTGTGTGGTTATCATACGAATTATGACTTGTGAAATTGAGTAACATGTAATGAAACTTGGTGTCTATGTAAATTTTGTGATGTATATTAAACATGTGAAAGTGATTGCAAAATGAGTTTTGAAGTGGTAAATGTGATGTTTGAAAAAAAATTTCTCTTTACAATGTGTTTTGAATGAGTGATTGATGATGAAA